GGCAACATAGTAAGAGCCCATCTCTACAAAAATATAAAAAGAGTTAGCTGGGCATAGTGACACATACCGTAGTCAATCCCAGCTACTCAGGAGGCAGTTGGAAGAAGCACCTAGGACTAGGAGGTCAAGACTGTGATGAGCTATGATCACACCACTGCACTTCAGCCTGGGTAACAGAGTGAGACTTGACTCAAGAATACAAAATAATGTAATATTCCCAATTAAAATATTATCAAGGTGAGTGGATTGCCTGAGCCCGCGGGTTCGAGACCCACCTGGGCAGCGAGACCTTATCTCTACAATAAATCAAAAAATCAGCCGGGCAAGGTAGTGCATGCCTGTAATTCTGGCTACTTGGAAGGCTGAGGCGGAAGGAGAGCCAGAGCCCAGCAGAGGCTGCGGTGGCCGGGAGCAGCCACTACACTCCAGTCTGGGAAACCGAGTGAGACTCCAACTCAAAAAAAAAAAAAAAAAAAAATCAGTCAGGTATACATCTTAGTCACTTCAAAAATTATCAATAATTGATATATATTAGATAAAAACATATTAGTATTAAATAAAAGGGTTAAAGGAACAACCTATTAAATCTAAATTATTTTAGGTAATTTTTTAAAGGCAAAAATATCAGTTAAACCAAGCAGTGGCATGCACCAACAGTACCAGCTACTTAGGAGGTTGAGGCAATAGAGTCACATGAGTCCAGGAGTTTGAGTTCAGCCTGGGAACCATAGCAAGACCGCTTCTCTTTAAAAAGATAAAAAAAACAGGCAAGATGGCTCACGCCTGTAATTCTAGCACTTTGGGAGGCAGAGGCGAGAGAACTGCCTGAACCCAGGGTTTCAAGAGGAGCCTGGTGAACTTGGTAAGACCTCGTCTCTACAATAAATAAAAAAAGCAGCCGGGTATGGTGGCGCAGACCTGTAGTTCCAGCTACTTGGAAGGCTGAGGCGGAACGATCACCAGAGTCCAGGAGGTAGAGATTGCAGTGGCCATGAGCATGCCACTGTACTGCAGCCTGGGCAAGAGAGTGAAATTCTGACTCAAAAAAAAAAAAAGAAAAACATAGTTAAGACTTTCCACTAAAAATAGACATAAATAACAAAATAAAGTAAGAATTAGGTTCTATATAAAAGCCTAGAAATGCTTACTACAAGACTATTAAGTACCATTGCTTCTAATTCAGAGTTACTAAAAAATCATCATTAGTAGTTTTCTAGGATATTTCAAACTAGAAGAGGGAACACTGAAAATAAACCAAAAACCTCATTTTAGAAGGAAACAATATAAATTAATAAACTGGCCCTATGACAAATATAAATTAATCACATGCAACAATGTGACTAAATTTCCCAGAGAGAACTGCCTGTCTTACCCTTCCTTCTGGCTATAGAAATTACTGTCAGCATTATTATACAATAACTATACTTACTTGACTACTGTAGAGTTCTTCTAGAAAAGTTAATGATTTAATGGACTTGGATCTGCAAATTTCCTCTTCTGTAAATTTCTGGATATCTGGATGAACCTTTTGGGGCTGACCCAAACGCAAAAATCCTATTTTAAATTTGGCCAACTTCAAAAGAATATTGTCAACAGCAGAGTGTGTATAGCTGGTCAACAAAACACTAAAACCACAGGCATAGAGGATTCTTACCTAGTAAAGGGTAAGAGAAAGAAAAGCAGAATTACTTTAAATTCTATATAATTTTTAACATGCTTATATTTTCCAAACAAAACTAAAAAAAATTAATAGGAGGCAGAGTGTGGTGGCTCACATCTATAATCCCAGCATTTTGAGAATCTGAGGTGGGCCAGTAGTTTGAAAACAGTCTGGGCAACACAGCAAGACCCTGTCTCTATTTTAAAATTTTTTAAAAAATTAATAGGAAACATATCTAGCAGCTGACCCAAGTAACTTTTTTTTTTTTTGAGCCAGAATCTCACTGTTGTCCAGGCTGGAATGCAGTGGCATGCTCATAACCACCGCAGCCTCAAACTACTGGGCTCAGGCGATTCATCCACCTCAGCCTTCCCAGTAGCTGGAACCACAGGCGTGTGCCACCACACCCGGCTAATTTTTTTTTTTTTTTTAATTTATTGTAGAGATGAGATCTTGCCATGTTGCCCAGGCTGGTCTCGAATTCCTATGCTCAGGCAATACTCTTGCCTCTGCCTCCCAAAGTACTGGGATTATAAGCATAAGCTACTGTGCCTGGCCATCAAGTAACTTTTTAAAAAAATTATGAAGACAAAATATTCTACAAAAATTACATGACATTACTATATCTTATTAATGATATGTCAATAATTCAACATAAATGATAGTAAAATTAAATGAATGCAAACTTTTAATAGTGTCTGGCAACAATTATCAGTCAATAAACATTTGCTGCCATCATTATAATTCTAAGGCTGCTTAGAAATTTACTGACATAAAAAAATCTAAGAAAAAATCTTATTCAACCACTTCTGCATAATTTATCATTTTTAAAGGGAAAAGAAAACATAGTGATACATATCACATACCACTAACAGAACGATAACTTAGAAAATTCTAAATGCAAGAAATCTACAACATGATTACAACTATTTGTGATTCAGATTTACTCTATCACATATCATTCTAAAAGTTATTTCAAAACAAAGACATTTTGAATTAAAATGCAGCCCTTTTGATATAAAATGTCTCATCCTCTGAACTGAGGAGAAGCTGGTATAAATATTTACTTTCTTTTTTTTTTTTTTTTTTTGAGTTGGAGTCTCACTCTGTTGCCCAGACTGTAGGGCAGTGGCACGTTCCCAGCCACCGCAGCCTCACCCTGCTGGGTTCCAGCAATCCTTCCGCCTCAGCCTTCCAAGCAGCCAGAACAACAGGCGCTTGCTACCACGCCTGGCTAATTTTTGATTTATTGTAGAAATGAGGTCTCGCCAAGTTGCCCGGGTGGGTCTTAAACCCTCAGGCTCAGGCAATCCACTTGCCTCGGCCTCCCAAAGTGCTGGAATTACAGGCTGAGCCACCGAGCCCAGCCTAAATATTTCCTTTCTAAGCAAAAGAATAATAACCTTACGAGAGTACATATTGTAGTTGTTTTTCCGGTACCAGGCATACCCACGATGAGTGTATAGTCTTTTGAAAGAAGCACTTTTTTCATTGCTTGTCTCTGAGGTTTATTCAAACCTACAATTAAATGAAAAGGTAACAGGAGTAAGAGTGTTAAATTTCTTCCTTTTTTTTAATTTTTAAGATGTGGGGTACAATTCAGGGTTAGGTATACAAATACTCATTATGCAGGTACCCTTGTTGATGAGGTATGTCCCTCCCAAGAGTGTTAAATTTCAATGAACAAATCAAGTATTTTACAAGAAAAGCTGTCTCTATCCAAGTCTGTTCTTCAATACAAAACTACTTCCAAGGAGCCTCCATCTAAATATTGTAACTGTGAGTACAATCAATTAAGATATTAGACATAGGGTACCTTAAATTAAATAGAACCAAGAAAAGCTGATCAAAGCAGACATGGATTTTAGCATACCCTTTAGAATGCTGGCAACTGTATCCTTTGCATCATGTGGAAGAACAGAACTGAGGAAAGATATAAACTGAGGTTCACGAAAGTCGATGATTAAATCTCGAAGTTTTTTGCTAAAAATAAAAAAAGTACTTTTAGTAATATTCCTTAGAAAAGTGGGTGAAATTCAGATTCATTCATGGTTACAAACCTGACATATGTGTTTTCCATCAATTTAGAAAGATTTCCTAATGGGGTATCTATATCACAATTTTTTTCTTGCTGGTCTAATCTGAATAAAGTTGATTCTGGAAGTACTGACAAGTTCCTAAAACAGCAAAACAAACATATGAATGTTTTTCACTTCACATAGTCAGTAAGAAAATACTGCTATCCGTTAAAAGATAGGTACCCAATCTTTTTCAGGGACCAGTTTCGTGGAAGACGATTATTCCACACACTGGGAGAGGTGGGAAGGGGAGGGAATGGTTTCGGGATGATTCAAGCACATCATATTTATCGTATACTTTATTTCTGTTATTATTCCACTGTAATATATAATGAAATAATTATACAACTCACCACTTTTAAAAAAGAGGTGTGAAAAGAAGTGGTAAATAAAAGAATGGGTCATGCACAAACTAAAATAAATGCTGAATTCTAACTTAAGCCCACCACCAGATGCAGCAGTACAAGTGAAGTACATCATCTCACTTGCCACACACTGATAGGGTTTTGATAAGAGTCTGCAAGCGACTGATTTGTTGGTCTTTATACAGTCAAACCTCACTGCTAATGTTAATAGGTGTTCGCAGTTGCTCCCCAGTAGTATTACCACCTCAGCCCCATCTCAGATCATCAGGCATTAGATTCTTATAATGAGTGCGCAACCTAGATACCATGCATGTGTGATTCACAATAGAGTTCACGTTCCTATGAGAATCTAATGCTGGTACTGATCTGCCAAGAGGGGGAGAACAGGTGGTAATGCAAGCAATAGGGAGCAGCTGTAAATACAGAGGAAGCTTTGCTCACTCACCTGACGCTCACCTCCTGCTGTGCGGCCAGTTCCTAACAGGCCACTAACTGTAGCCAGGGGTTTAGGGGCCCCTATGCTAAAAGAATAAGTGGGCCAGAGCAGTTATTAAGATAGCTAATAGCCCCTCAACCACACTTGCCAATCAAAGACAGCATGAGGTCCTTAGTAATCAGGAACCTGCAACATTTGCTGAAAATTCACTTAACCTTGCAACCTAACAGGGGTTCACTAAGGTTAAGGAAATTCACTTAACCTTGCAATCCAACATTGGCTCTTCCCTCCTCCAGCCTGAAGTGCAGGTTTTCTTCCTGTCACATTATCCCACTCTTCTGTCTGTCGCTTAAGCCCTGGTGTTCTCTAGAGTCCCTTCCATTGTACTGCTCTTTCTTGATGTTTCCCCTATGGTCCCAGGTCCTCATGTAACTTCCAACCCTAAATCTACATCGGTGGCCCTGACCTCACTCCTCTCCTACCTCGTTCCTCACCCAGCTTCAGGTTTTGGATACCCAGAAGACAGCAATATCTAACCACTTGGCTAAAACCTAGGCTCTGAAAGCTCAATATATTCATAACTGAACAACTTCTAGTCCCTGCTGAACCTGATCCTCCTCTTCTGGTTCTGATCTCAATTAAAAGTGCTTACATCTATCAGGATGGACTTCCAGAAAACTGGAATTATTTTGGGGAAGGCAGTAGTACAGGCCTTTCTTTGTAGTACAGGCTTCCTCTACTAGGTAAGTATTCTAGGAACCCATCAGCAACAGTTTACCACCAATTATTGTAAGAGGCTGTGTTCAGCTTCGGTGAATTTTGGGGGACGATTCTGTCAGTTCATTTGCCCATTTCATTATGGGTGATTCACACGAACAACCTGCCCACACTGTACTGAGCGTTCAGCAGTATTTGACCAAAACAGCATGACCCCCGTGCCCCACCAGATCTTACCACGAGCAGATGACAAAAGTCCTCAAAAGGCAGGGCACGGTGGTGCAATAAGCCCAGAACTTTGGGAGGCCGAAGCAAGAGGTTTGCCTGAGCTCAGGGGTTTGAGACCAGCCTGGGCAACTTGATGAGGCCTCATCTCTACAATAATCAAAAAACAAGCCGGGTGTAGTGGAGAGTGCCTGCAGTTCCATCTACTTGGAAGGCTGAGGCGGAAGGATCACATGAACAAAGCAGGTCAAGGTTGCGGTGGCTGAGCATGCCACTGCATTCCAACCTGGGTGACAGAGTGAGACTTCAACTCAAAAAAAAAAAGTCCTCAAAGGAAAATATTTTGTCAATATGGAAGAAGTAAAACAAAAATGGCAGAAGCACTAAAAGGCATCAAAATCTATGAGCTCAGAAAAACTGTTTTGAGCAGTGGGTAAAAACACTTCAATAGGTGTATGGCATAGACAATACTTTGAAGGTGACTGAAGTTTCGACATGTAAGAATAGGCCTGGACTGGGTGCAGTAGCTCACGCCTATAATCCCAGCACTTTGGGAGGCCGAGGTGAGAGGATTGCTTAAGGTCACAGGTTCAAGACCAGCCTGGGCAACTTGGTGAAATCTCATCTCTGCAATAAATCAAAAATTAGCCAGGCATGGTGGTGTGGGCCTATAATTCCAGCTACTTGGAAAGCTGAGGCGAAAGGATCACCTGAGCCCAGCAGGTCAAGGCTGCGTACCACTGCACTCCAGCCCGGGCAACAGAGTGAGACTTCAACTCAAAAAAAAAAGAAGAGGAGGCCGGGCACAGTGGTCCATGGCAGCAATCCTAGCACTTTGGGAGGCAGAGGCAAGAGCTGAGCTCAGGGGTTCTGCCTGAGCAACACAGGGGTTCTGCCTGAGCAATTGCCTGAGCTCAGGGGTTCAAGACCAGCCTGAGCAACACAGTGAGACCTCGTCTCTACACTAAATCAAAAAATTAGTCAGGCATGGCGCATGCCTGTGGTTCCAGCTACCTGGAAGGCTGACGCAGAAGGATCGCCTGAGCCCAGCAGATCGAGGCTGCAGCGGCTGTGAGCGTGGCACTGCACTCCAGCCTGGACAACAGAGTGAGATTCTGACTCAAAAAAAAAAAAGAATACACAATTTTTTATAAACGCTGTCCTGAACCTTTCCTCTCCCTCGTCCTCTTCCCAGCCCACATATTCAATCAGTATCCAAATGCCAGGCAATTTTACTTTACTACCAAAGTCATTCCATTCTCGCTGCCAACACTACCCTGCCACAACCTCCTCTAGCCTGGGCGACTACAACAGCTTCCTGGTTTCTCTGATTTCAGTTTTGCCTGCTTTAGTTAGTTCAGTTTTCTACAAAGCACCCACAGAAAAAAGCAAATCCAATCACTATCCATTTTTCTATTAAAAACACTCCAATACATCAGAATAAAAATCGAAGCTTTTTAAATATGGTATATAAGACCTTCTATGACCTTACCTCTCCAGTAATTCCTTTCCTTATATTTTTACATTCCAGAAATACTTAATGACCTGCACTTTCCTGATTGTTTCGTGTCATACTGTATCACCCCATCCACAGGATGAAGAACCAGAATTAATTCTTTTTTCAAAAAGCTTTCCCTGAGACTCTTAAGATTGGATTAAATACCTCTCCTTCTGTGTCCATCAATTTGAACACTTATCACATTAGACTGAAAATATGTGTCTACACACAAAACCATAAATTACTCAAGGACTTGCAAACACCTAACACGTGGTAGGTACTAAATAAATACAAGGAACTGCAAGGAATCCTAACAGATTATAGTGGTTCATAATCTCATAACATGAAACTCAGACTAGGGATGGTTATGGCTCAACTACAATTACTAGTTGGTAGGGAACAAGCTTGGATATTTCCATTACAGTTACTCAGATATCACTGAGTCCAAATTGATGACCTCCATCCATTAATAGTGAGCCATGGCTGTATTATCTACAAAGAAGGCTGCAAATATAATCCAGTCAAATGTGAAAGAAGACAAAATATGAACATCAGTGATACAAATATTAATGTATGTCACAGATTTTCTTGCTTTCTTTTTTTTTGAGTTTGAGTCTCACCCTGTCACTAAGGCTGGAGTGCAATGGCACACTCACAGCCACCCCAGCGTTGACGTGCTGGGCTCCAGTGATCCTTCTGCCCCAGTATTCCAAATAGCTGGAACTATAGGCGTGCATTACCATGCACGCCGGCTGATTTATGATTTATTGTAGAGATAAGGTCTCACCAAGTTACCCAGGCTGGTCTCGAACTCATGGGCTCAGGCAATTCTCTCACCTCGGCCTCCCAAAGTGCTGGGATTACAGGCTGAGCCACCAAGCCCGGTCTCCTTATCTATTTTTAAATTTAATTTTCTGTTCCTGGAATCGAATGTCTTATTTTTTTTTAAAAAATCTTTTTTTCCATTTATAGCTGTGATATAAAGTATATTTATTTCAGTTAAAGTCAGCTGATTTAAAAGTATCAATAATAAAATAGTTGCTATAAAAATCTGTGACAGGCTGGATGTGGTGGCTCACGCCTGTAATCCCAGCACTTTGGGAGGCTGAGGTGAGAAGACTGCCTGAGTTTAGGGGCTCAAGACCAGCCTGGGCAACTTGGTGAGACCTCATCTCTACAATAAATCAAAAAAATAAGCCAGGCAAGGTAGCGTGTGCCTGTAGTTCCAGCTACTTGGAAAGTTGAGGTGGAAGGATCTCCTGAGCCCAGCAGCCTGAGGCTGGGGTGGCCATGAGCAAGCCACTGCATTCCAGCCTGGGTGACAAAGTGAGACTCCAACTCAAAAATAAAAATAAAAATATCAATAAAGAAGGAGAATACAAGCCAGGCATGGAGGCTCATGCCTGTAATCCCAGTACTTTGGTAGGCCTAACCAGGAGGACTGATTGAACCCAGGAGTTTGAGACCAACTTAGGCAACATGGTAAAACCTTGACTCTACAAAAAAGAAAAAAATCGGCCGGGTTCGGTGGCTTAGCCTGTAATCCCAGCATTTTAGGAGGCCGAGGTGAGTGGATTGCCTGAGCCCACGGGTTCGAGACCTGCCTGGGCAACTTGGCAAGACCTCATCTCTACAATAAATCAAAAATTAGCCAGGTGTGGTAGTGCGCGCCTGTAGTTCCAGCTACTTGGAAGGCTGAGGTGGAAGAATCGCCAGAGCCCAGCAGGTCAAGGCTGCGGTGGCTGGGAGCGGCCACTGCACTCCAATCTGGGCGACAGAGTGAGACTCCAACTCAAAAAAAAAAAAATCAAAAAATTAGCCGGTGTGGTAGCGCAAGCCTGTAGTCCCAGCTACTCAGAAGGCTAAAGTGGAAGGATTTTCTGAGCCCAGGAGGTTGAGGCTGTGGTAAGGCATGATCATACCACTGCACTCTAACCTGGTTTAAAGAGTGAGACCCCAACTCAAAAAAAGGAAACAAAATTGTTTAAAAGAGAAAACAAAATGGTGAATGTTCAGAGTGCTAAGGAGAAATAAGCCTTATAGCTAATACAGGGTAGTTATCTATCCTGCCTGCTATACATGTAGTTATGAGAATGAGATAAGATGATACCCACATTAGCAATACAGAGCATAATGTACTAAACAAAAGTTTAGTAGTTTGGTAGTTCTTTTTTTTTTTTTTCTTTTTCTTTTTTTTATGAGTCAGAGTCTCACTCTGTTACCCAGGCTAGAGTGCAGTGGCATGTTCACAGCCACTGCAGCCTCTACTTCCTGGACTCAAGAAATCCTTCCGCCTCAGCCCTCCAAGTAGCTGGAAATACAGGCAAGCGCCACCACACCTAGCTAATATTTTTGATTTATTGTAGAGATGAGGTCTTGCCATGTTGCTCAAGCTGGACTCGTACCCCTGAGTTCAGGCAATCGTCTCGTCTCCATCTCCCAAAGTGCTGGGATTACAGGTGTGAGCTACAATGCCTGGCCAGTAGCTCTTCCGAATGTTTTGTTTTTGTTTGTTTTTTTTTGTCAGAGTCTCACTCTCTCACCCAGGTTGGAATGCAGTGGCATGCTCATAGCCACCGCAGACTAGACCTGCTGGGCTCAGGCAACCCTTCTGCCTCAGTCGCCCAAGTTTCTGAGACTACAGGCATGTGCCACCACACCTGGATAATTTTTTGATTTTTTGTAGAGATGAGGTCTCACCATGTTACCTACCCAAGCTGGTCTCAAATCCCTGGGCTCAGGCAATCCTTTTACCTGGGCCTCCCGAAGTGCTGAAATTATAGGCGTGAGCCACCACACCCAGCCCCTTCAAAAATGTTAAACATGACTTAGCATATGACCAGGGTTTCCATGACTAAGTAACAACAAAGGAAAATGAAAATATGTCCACACAAAAATTTATATGTGAATATTCACAGCAATATTATTCAAAGTAGCAAAAAAGTAGAAACAAGTCAAAAGTCCATAAGCTGGTGAATGGATGAACAAAATATGGTAAATCCATATAATGGAATATTATTCAGCCATAAAAAGAAATGAAGTACTGATATTTGCTGAAATGTGAACGAACCTTGTAAACATTAGGCTATGTGAAAGAAGCCAGACGCAAAAGGTCACATATTGTATGGTTCTACTTATATCATATAGCCAGAATAGGTCTAAGTCCATAGAGATAGAAAGCAAATTAGGGGCTGCCAGAAGCTTGAGGGAGAAGTGGGAGGTGACTGCTTGGTAGGAATAAGGATTCCTGTTATCATGATGAAAGTGTCCTAGAACTAGACAGAAGTAATGATTGCCCAATATTGTGAGTATACTAAATGCCACTGAATTATAAACTTAAAAATGACTAACAGTTAATTTTGTTATTAAAATTTTACCTCGATTTTTTTCAAAAAGGAATGCATGCTACCACATGCAAATGAACCTCAAAAATAGTACGTTAAGTGAAAAAAAGTCAGTCACCAATGACCACATATTGTATGATCCCATTTGCACAGAATGTTCGGAATAGGCAAATCAATAGAGACAGAAAGTGGAGCAGTGTTGGTCCAGGGTTGAAAGAATAGGAGAAATGACAAGTGACTGCTAACAGGTACAAGGTTTCTTTTGAGGGCAATGAAAACACTCTAAAATTGCTTTGGATAGCGCTACACAACTCTGTGAATATACTAAAAACCATTACATTGTATATTTTAAATGGATGAACTGTTTGGTATAATTTATATATTCATAAAGCTGTTACCAAAAACAAGTGATGTTTCATTACCTGTCCAATAAACAGGTCACTGTTGTCATGCTGATCTCCTTCACATATCCCCTAGACAAAGCAAACAATGCCCTTTCCTTTCCACTTAAAATAATTCTGTCACCTGCCATTAGATTTGTGACAGGTATGGCACCATTTTTATGCTGGAAATTATGCAAATATTGTCCATCACAAACTCTCTGTACATGTCCTGTTCTGATCAGGTTTCCAATGCAAATGCCACTTTCTTCCCTTTGAAAAAGGAGAAAAAGAGAAAGCTCCTATTTATATCACATATGTAATTATCATGTTTTCATTTTTCCGCAACTTACTTGCTCATCTGACCCCTAAAAACTAAAATCTGTCATTTTTACACTTTCCACAATCTACAGTAAAATGTCAGAAATGTTAAGTATATATTCTATAGTTTTTTAAACTAATCTCTCAACAACAGTCTTGTAGGATAGTGCTAGGGAACACACCCTTGTTGCACCCATAGGCTGAGCTCTCTGAACAAGGAGTTTTATTGGCTCTTTCATCCTCAAACAATATCCTCAACTCCTGGGCAGATACACATAAAATTACAGAAGACAAACCATAATAACCTGCTCCTAAATGTGATATGAAGAAAATAACAACATATTTCTTTAGTGTTTACAAGAAAGAACTTATGATTATTGTTATTAGACTGGGTGCAGTGTTCACACCTGTAATCCCAGCACTTTAGGAAGTCAAAGCAGTTATCACCTGAGGCCAAGGGTTCAAGGCTACAGTGATCTAGGGTTGCAGTACTTCACTCCAGTCTGGCCGAAAAAGTGAGACTCTGTCTCTAAAATAATAAAATAAAACAAATAAACAATTTTAAAATTATTATTGTTTTTTGTGGGGTTTTTTTGGAGTCAGAGTCTCACTGGTGCCCAGGCTGGAGTGCAGTGGCATGTTCATGGTCGCCACAGCCTCAACCTGCTGGGCTCAGGCGATCCATCCTCCTCAGCCTTCCAAGTAGCTGGAACCACAGGCACATGCCACTGCGCCCAGCTGATTTTCTCACCAAGTTGCCCAGGCTAGTCTCAAACCCCTGGGCTCAGGCAATCTGTTTGCCTCTACCTCCCAAAGTGCTGGGATAACAGGAGTGAGCCACCACATCTGGTCTATTATTATTATTCAAATGGCAAGCAAGTTGATAATTTCACTGCTTCTAAGAAATAAGAATTAAGCATCTACAGTCTCCCAGGCACTACTATTAAATATCATACCATCTCAGAGGCTCACTGGTATGTATGTGTCTGACATATTCATGATTCTTATGCAGTCCACAACGACATAAACTTTCTCCACTGTAATGTTTCCTTGTGATAAGGTCTACTATTAGGAAAATAATGACCAGTTATTTCTAAAGCCACATCACTAATATTCCTTTTGTAAAGGAAAAAAAATGGAGCTAAAGCAACTAAATTTTACATTAAGGAAAAATAGAGAAACAAAACTCTGTTGGTTTTTTTTTGAGTTGGAGTCTCACTCTGTCACCCAGACTGGAGTGCAGTGGCACACTCCCGGCCACCGCAGCCTCGACCTGTTGGGCTCCAGTGATCCTTCCACCTCAGTGTTCCAAGTTGCTGGAACTACAGCCGTGCGCTATCATGCCTGACTAGTTTTTTTTTTATTTATTGTAGAGATGAGGTCTCACCAAATTGCCCAGGTGAGTCTTGAACCCGCAGGCTCAGACAATCCACTCACCTCAGCCTCCCAAAGCGTGAGATTACAGGCTGAGCCACCGAGCCCTGCTCAAAACTCTAACTTTACAAGTCACTCATAAAAACTGGATTCTATAAGATGGAATTTTAGAAAATTTGCATCTGTACCAAAACTTACTGAAAATGTAAACTTGTAAAATACTAATATTTTAAAAATTAAGTAAACCCTCATTAATTTGCATTCTATCAATATATAAAAATTCACTTTAAGTCACATTTATAATGTTATCACTGATACAAAAGGATGTACTGATAATTTTTAAAACAAAATTTGAGGTATATTTAACACATTGAAAATATATTACTAACAATGAATGCAGTATATAGCATATGTAGAAATGGTGCTCTACTTAAAAATAATTCACTGAAAGCCATTTGCAGTTATCATGGATAAATGAAATCACATATCTTTATCATGCTACATAACCTGTATTGGTCATAAATTCCAAATGCCACCAGGGCCCTTCTGGGAGCGCAGGGTATGGATCCGCATGGGACTGCAAAGATAAATTCCAAATACCATAACACTAGTTAATCTAAACTACTGAAATTTTACTGTATTAAATGGACCACTCACATTTGTGAAACAGGCATTAGCCAGATATTTTGATGATTCTTTCTATTATCCTTTGATTGTGACTCCAGAGTTAACATTAGACACCAAAGACTGAAATATTCTAAGTGTGCAAGCTTCAGATGCTGGGTTTCTTCTTTTATTTTAGGCAGCATAACAACTGGGACTGAACTGTCATCCATCTGTTGTTCAATTGCTCTAAATATAAAGTTCCAAGTTAGAGATGTTTATAAACCATTTCACTGGCTGGCTATTAAATGAGGTCATTCTAAAATAAGTATACATACATGATGATCATTATAACTCATAACCATCACCCCTAATTTTCCTTAGAAGTCATTTCAATGTTTTGTAAATCATAGGACATTTTACAAAACAAAATGTTTAAGAAACTCAATACTGCATTACTTTGCCTTCATTGAGTATTCCCCAAACAATTTAGGTTTGGTATACTTTAATCTTCATTGCTATAAGCAGCAAGTATTGACTTTTTGTACAAATGCATTACTCAAAATCACAATTATTTGTACACCTAGCTCTGTGACATAAGGAAGTAAACATAAAAACACGGAGAATCATTTGAATTTTGCTTAATACTAAATTAAAACTTTTTCTTTTTTTGAGATGGTATCTCTGTGTTGCCCAGGCTGGAGTGCAGTGCTATGATCTCAGTTCACCACAGCCTCAACTTCCTGGGTTATCCTTCCAACTCAGCCTCCCAAATAGCTGGAATGACAGACGTGTGCTCCCATGCCCAGCTAACTTTTTGATTTATTGTAGAGACGAGGTCTCACTATGTTGCCTAGCTGGTTTCGAACTTCTAGGTTCAAGCAGTCTTCCCGCCTCAGCCTCCCAAAGTGCTAGGATTACAGGCATGAGCCACTGTGCCTGGCCTAGAATATTTTTAAAAATATAATTAGGAGGCACAAGTGCAGATTTCTTACATGTATATATGAAGTTTGGGCTTTTAGTGTATCCACTACCCAAATAGTGAACATTGTACCCAATAAGTAGCTTTTCAACTCTCACGTCCCTTGCACCTGCCCACCTTTTATAATCGCCAATGTATATCATCCCGCTCTGTATGTCCATGTATGACCATTGTTTAGTTCCCATTTTTATATAGAAACAAACATATTATAGGACGGCATACAAAACACTAAAACTAAAACATAATATTCCAAAGAAATGTACTTGTACTCTAGGTCCAGACTTCCCATGGTTCACTGTCCTCTGCCATTAAAAGATCCTTTGAGAGCCGGGCTCGGTAGCTCAGCCTGCAATCCTGCGCCTTTGGGAGGCTGAGGTGAGTGGATTGCCTAAGCCTGCGGGTTTGAGACCTGCCTGGGCAGCGAGACCTCATCTCTATGATAAATCAAAAAATCAGCTGGGTGTGGTAGTGCATGCCTGTAATTCCGGGTACTCGGAAGGCTGAGGCAGAAGGATCGCCGGAGCCCATCAGGTCGAGGCTGCGGTGGCCGGGAGCGGCCACTGCACTCCAGTCTGGGCGACAGAGTGAGACTCCAACTCAAAAAAACAAACAAACAAAAAAGATCCTTTGAGCAGGGCATGATGGCTCATGCCTATAATCCTAGCATTTTGGGAGGCCGAGGTGAGAGGATTGCCTGAGTACTGGGGTTCGAGACCAGCCTGAGCAACTTGGCAGGATCTCATCTCTACAATAAAATCTAAAAATTAGCCAGTTGTGGTGGCATGTGCCTGTGCTTCCAGCTACTTGGAAGGCTGAGGCAGAAGGTTCATCTGAGCCCAGCAGCTCAAGGCTGTGGTGGCTGTGAGTGTGCTACTGCACTGCAGCCTGGGCAGCAGAGTAAGACTCCAACTTAAAAAGAGATCCTTTGATGTAATACTTTAAAAAGTACTTTATGCACATTTTCAGATTGAACTAGAACGTTGGCTCTGCTTTGACCTCGTTTCTTAGTCTGTATCTACCTCGAACCACTTTTTTGTGTCTTCCAAGACTTTCACTGTCTGTGAAGGTATAAAAACACAGTCATTCACGTGACTGATAATAAACTTTCCATTTGTAGAAAAATAGCCATAGATAACAGGGGAGGCACATCCATTAGATCATATCCAACTGTATCTACAAGAACCAATTTCCCTGTATCTAACCACAAAAGAATTGAGATTAAAATCACAAATAAGATATGGAAGACATCTTGAACTATCATTTAAGGAAACTTGTATTTTTCTGTACAGGCTGAATATCCCTTATCCAAAATGCTTACAATTAGAACTGTTTCAGGTTTTCTTGGATTTTGGAATGTTTGCATTATATCAGTTGAAAAATTCATAAGTTGAAAAATTCAAAATCTAAAGTGCTCCAATACGCTTTTCCTTTAATCAACTGCATGCAGTAAGATTAAAATATTTACTTTGGGGAAAAGATTTAAAAGCACTCCATTATTTCTCAAGAAAATGGGCCATTTAGAAAATATGTACTGTGAGCTTTTAAAAATCAATTCCCTTCATTTTAGAAATACCACAAAGGAAAATATAAAAGAAAAATAACTTAAATGAAATCAATGCCAGGCAGTCACCAATGTTAAATCATTGAGTTGAGTCACATTCAACTTAAAATAATGTTTTTACAAGATAATATTTACCTGCTATAAAGGGCACAGTTGCCTACTTGTGAACAATATTTACAAATTTTCTCTTCCTCAATTATTTCTGGCAGAGAAGTAAGCTGTATCTTCTGTCCAGTAGCAGATTTGCTAATACGGTGAAACAAAGAGAATGCCACCTGGTTTCTTAGCTTTAATAGTTCTATGAAGAAAAGAAAAGGGTGTCTTTTGAAGAATTAGTTTATCATATATCTTTTTCTTTATGTACGTAAAACTTTCAGATTTAGAAATATTTTTAAGAGTAGAGAACAGAGCCAGGTGCTGTGGCTCATGCTTGAATCCCAGCACTTTGGGAGGCTGAGCCGAGAGGATTGCCTGAGCCCAGGTTCAAGACCTGCCTAGGCAACATGGCGAGACCTCGTCTCTATAAGAATTCAAAAAATTAGCTGGGTGTCGTGACGTATACCTGTAGTTCCAGCTACTTGGAAGGCTGAGGTGGAAGGATCACCAGAGCCCAGCAGGTCAAGGCTGTGGTGGCCATGAGCGTACCACTGCACTCCAGCCTGGTCAACACAGTAAGACTCCAACTCAAAAAAAAAAAAAATGAGTAGAGAACAACATTCATATTTCCCACTATTCCAGCATAACTACTGTTAACATTTTGGTATACTTCCTTTAAGGTTTTGTTCACTTGTTAAGTTCTTTAAAGTACGTATTTCATAACTAGTAAGTAATGAAAAGTTGTTTTTATTAGGTGAATGCTGAGAATAAAATAGAGCTATCTAGAACACCTGTAATATAAGATAGAAAGTCTGAAGTAAAGTTTTGCATAATAAAATGTTTACAGATCATTGTTTTCAATAATAAATTATAGTATTAAAATTCCTTTAAAAAAATACCACAACTGTAAATTACAACCTATATTATTACACCTATCAAGTGCAATGAATAGATTGTCAGGCATAACAATCACCAAAAACTGAAGGGGGTGGGGAGGAGCAGATAAGTAAAACACAAAGAAAACAGCTCAACCTCTTTTATCTAGATGATTGGCAGGTACAGGGTACATCTGGCCAGTCTTGAGGTAGAGAAGCAAGCCAGCCTCCGGATCAGCTCTTCTCTCCTGACTCAGTAGTGTGTACAGAACAACCTGTGCAAACATCAGCATTTTTCTCAAACAAGACTAAAACTTTATATATTTTCCAACAATGTCTTGCAACCAACACATTGTAATTTTAAAAGAACAATGAAGCTATTTCCATTCTGAAAGTAACATTAGCAAAGCTGGCAAGCTAACACAACAAATTAGATGTCAAACATATAATTTATACAAAACAAACATAGTTCATGCTTCTCAGTTTTGTTTAAATAACAAAGAAACACAGAGAATTTTTCCTAGACAGTAAAAATTTAGATTTCCAATAAGTTAAAGAGGGAAATTAATCAAGCTATGATTTACATTTTGAAGTTAACAGTCTTAAGACAATATTCTTGCTATTTAAAATAAATGAACCAAACACTAAAATGCTTCTCATTTATGTCAGTCACTGTTGCCAAAAATAAAAAACAAACTCTGCAAAGTTTGTTTTTCCAGGGCACAAGACATCATTAACTGCCTTAATTAGGTTCAATAGTGCTTTTCAGAGAAATTATCTAAGCAAGACAAATTAAAAATAGTCCCTTTAGCTCATGAAAAAATTTAGCTGTAAGAACAAGTAATTTGGCTAAGGTCATATACAATCTAATAACAAGTCAATTTGTTTTCTAAGAGTTTGCTAAGATTCAAACATTAAGTAATTTAGAAGTTCCAGTATTTCAATCATAAAATTCTAAACTAGCAAATTCAGTAATTATAATTAGAATGCATAAGTATAATGTCAAATTACAATTACCTTTCAATTTCCTAAACTACATTTAAAATATAATGATTAATTTATAGAAGACACAGCATTATTTGCTGCACAAATATTAATTATATCTACAAACTCATCACTAAGTGTCTAAAATAGGTTTACAAAACACAGAAAAAATTTTTGCCTGGCACGTGGTTCACATCTGTAATCTCAGCACTTTTGGAGGCCAAGGTGGGAGAACTGCTTGAAATCAGGAGTTCGAGACCAGCGTGGGCGATACAGTGAAACACCATCTTTCCAAAAAACCTTTTTTTAAATTTTGTTCTTTTGCTCACAAATACAGTAGTGTTTGTGAAATTAGCAAATGTAATAGAAATACAGAAGAAATCTCAATATACGAACTTTGCAAAGAAAATACAATCCCAGATGCCTCGATGTTCAAAGACATTTATAAAAATGTCTACAAAGTAAAATGTGGAAATATTCAGTCCTCGGGAAACAATCATACCAAAGTTTGATATTTTAGCTTGATCACCTAATCTACATATATAAGATTCCAATGAAGGGTTGTTGTTTCAACATCTGAGCCCAAGAAAAATGATTTGGGAGGTCTTACAAGCACTCTACTTGTGGTCCCTATACAGCATAGCTACCAAATAAAGCTTTTAAAAGTTAAAATGAAAAAGAAATTTTTTTTTAAGTTAAAGAAAAGCCAAGCACCATGGTTCACGCTTGTAATCCCAACACTTTGGGAGGCCAAGATGAGAGGACTGCTTGAGCCCAGGAGTTTGAGACCAGACTAGGCAACATAGCGAGACCTCATCACTATTTTTTTAAAATGTTTTTTCATAGAAAAATTAAAATTAAAGAGAACTCACAAATTACAGAACAAGAGCCTTGGGACTGTGGGCTAAGGAAATCATCTAAAACTAATGGTCTTTCTGTATCAAATTTTTCCCTCTGTGGGAAGTGAAGCAGAAGGAAGAGGTAAACAGGACTCTAACTTAATAAAAGGAGGCAAAATATTAAATGAAATTCCTTTAGTGTTATGATAAAAGGAAACTTGTTGTAACTCGACTACAGCACTAGCTAAGAAGGTTTTTGTGAGCTGGATTGGTGATCACAGTGCCATATAATGTTTTTTCCTTTCGAAAATGTGTTTAAGTGCCAAATTACTGACTTACAAACTTTTGAAATAAACTCCATTTATAAAATAAATATCTTCCTTTACTGAAATTAGTTTACTTCTTAAGATTTTGCTTTAAAAGTTTTCTTAGCCAGGCACGTGCCTGTAATCCTAGTTACTAGGGAGGCTAAGGCAGGATGATCGCTTGAGCCCAGGAGTTCGAGTCAAGGAGGTTGAGTTGAGTCTCGGCAACACAGTGGGCCTGTCTCAAAAATAAAGAAAAAAAGCTGTCTCAAAGCTTTTCTTATTACCAAAGTGAATTCTTTTAAGAATGTAAAAGAATTTTATTTTTTCCTTATCCCCAACACCGATTATAACTCAATAATGAACAACCATAATCAATTTTTCAATGTCTTCTTGTTTCTTGCATAATAAATATGCAATATAAACTCTAACATTTTTCTTTGAGCCTTGCTCTGGCAAATTTCACTTCTTTTCAATACAAGAATTACTATATTATTCTTTAAAGTTCTTGTAGCTTCTCTCCTTGCAAAAGTACAACTTCCAATCAAACAAAATTAAATACAGTAATAGTCTTTGCCTTGAAGGCACAGAAAATTAGTGCAGCAATAAATGAAAAAAGGTCCTGACTCTGGAGTACTTTAGATGCTGAAATGCTTTTATAGTCTCTCCTGCTTAGTATTCTAAAGTGATTTCATTAAAACATGTAATTTTTTTAAAATATCGAGTAGAAAAATTTCAGTCTCATATACACAAAACACATTTGTTAAATCTTTGACCTCAAAAACAGTCTTTCTCCTATAGGCATGATGTTCCTTCCTCAAGAGGGCTTTTATCTACCTAAGTCTTTGGTTTGTAATTTCAGCAATGTTTGTATTACAAAAGTAAAAAGTTCAACTTTTTTTTTAACAGGGAAAACCTATGTTTTCCTCCACTTCCAACATCTCTGTAAAACTCAATAATAGGTGAAACATCAAGGGTACCTACCTTTTCAAGTCAAACAGAAAGTTTTTGTGGAAACCTTTAAGATTTGGCACACAACTAGGAATGGCAGGAAAGAATCTGCTCTGGGAGCATTAAAAAATAAATGAATAAATAAAAAAGAATGGCAAGAAAGTTTTAGTAGAGAAAGTCTTCTTATACACTTCAGTACTTTGTCTTATTTATTTTTTTTAGACATGAAATCTTGCTCTGTTGCCCAGGTTGGAGTGCAGTTGCATGATCATAGTTCACTGCAACCTCCAACTCCTGGGCTCAAGTGATCCCCCCAAGTAGCTGGAACTGCAGGCATGCCTGGCTAGTCTTTTTTTGTTTGTTTTGTGAAAATGGAATCTTGTCTTGTTGTTCAGGCTGGTCCTGAACTCCTGGGCTCAAGCGATTTTCCTACCTCCACCTCTCAAAGTGCTAGAATTACAGGCATAAACCACTGCACCCAGCCTTATTCCAGTACTTTGAATCTGAATCTACTTTATATAAAATCTGCCAAATAACATATAAAGTTGCAAGGAGAAAATTTAAGTTATAAATTCTATGCTATCTGTTACATTACTTATTCCCTCAGTAAATACTATATCATAAAAAATATAATAATATTGCTATCTTTTAATTTTGTCTTTGCTGATTTGAAAGGTTCTATGAGAACATACTGCAAATTGCCAATATGGAGACAGGCAGAGTAGGTGAAAATAATTAGAAAATTAAATACAACTTTATGTTAATTCATCTGTTAAGTCACTATAATATAAACTTAAAATAATTTTCAAAGATTACAGAAAATTGCTGTTTATCAAAGAGAAGTATGAATTTTTTAAAGTATTGAAATTTTTTTTTTTTTTCTTCAGTTGGAGTCTCACTCTGTCACCCAGACTGGAGTGCAGTGGCCGCTCCCGGCCACCGCAGCCTCGACCTGCTGGGCTCCGGCGATCCTTCCGCCTCAGCCTTCCGAGTAGATGGAATTACAGGCATGCGCTACCACGCCCAGCTGATTTTTTGATTTATTGTAGAGATGAGGTCTCGTTGCCCAGG